CAACTCCCAGAATTCCCCACCCAGGCTGGCTGAGGAATTCTGGGAGTTGAAATCCACCCGTCTTAAAGTTGCCAAGGTTAAGGAACCGTGCTTAAAGTGATAATCTGGCATCTCTGTAGGACTGGTCTGGCAGGAGAGCCTGTAAAAGGATCCTGCTTCCTGTCTCTCCCACTGCGGCCACCTGATGAGTTTTTTGGAGTGGTGGGGAGCTGGATGGCAGAGGCTGTTCACTTCTCAACCGCAGTTTTTGGAAACCGCCTTTTAGTTCAGTACCACCTCTGCCTTTAGAATTCCTCATTAAACGTTTTGTGTTGAAAAACTTCATTTGAACCCACCGAGATTTATAGCCACTAGAATAGTTTTCAATGCAGTGACATTGCTATAAATAACTTATTGACATTCCATCAGCGGACAAATTATGAGTGCCAGGGTGAGCTATAGAGCGCCTGGAATTTAAAAAGTAAATCTATAGATAACTGAAGTACACAAAAGCAGCTATATATCCATCTCCTTATAATGACCTGGCATTTACTGTTCATACATTTGCTTCACTGCTCAGTGAAATGAGCTGCCTTTAAGACATTATATTTGGAAAACAGGTTTATTGAGTTGCCACTGATGTTAAAATCTCATTTCCTATTGGAGAGGCAAAGAAAATATATTTCTATGAACTTGGTGCCAGATACAATGTTTAAAATTGATTACTGTTTGGAATGAACCATTGTGGAAATGGGGGGGGGGGTATTGCCTTTTCCAGTTTCTGTGGAAGTCAGACTTATTCCCTCATCCAAAACAGGGTGGTCTACCATTTCATTTAATCACCCCCGCAAGCCATGTTTTGGTGACGTCCAGGATAAACTTGGCAATATATTGTTCATAGAATGGTCTTTCTCCCCCTGCTCCCCAATTGCTCACAAACTGCAATCAGTTGAAATTTAACTAGGTATAATTGGGATTTATGGCTATATCTTTGGTTGATTGGATGTGGATTAGTGGAGTTTCTTAGGCCCAGTTTTTTTTAAAATGGCAGTCCCAGTATTACTAGCCCTCCCCACAAGTTCCACCACTGTGGTTGGTTTTGGGTACATGTGGAAGGCAACCCCAGTTATTGACATTTTTGGATTGCTATCTCAGGGATAATATCCACTGAAGTGGAGTGAGCTCCATGGAAACCTACGTTGTGGTGAATGTGTGACCCTTTTAAAGGAGACATATCGATCCTTTGTTGTTTTTCTGCAACAGATTAACGCAGGTATCCTCTGCAAATCTTACCAGGGGACAAGACATTCCATACAAGAGGTACTGCCAGTAGCTGATCTTCTGAACTAAAAATATGTCTCCTTAGGCAGAGGCATCTGTAGGAGCCAGTGCTCTCCTCAAAATGGCAAAATGAGTGTTACGCTGTTATAATGCCATCTCTGCCCATTTTGTTCATTTATGAGATATCATGATCTACATACAAAATGGGCAGAGCTTGTGTTGCGATGATGAAATGCTTATCTCATCATTTGCCCCCCTCATGCAAATTCCTCTGTTTCCATGGGAGGTGCAAATCCTATGCAGACCCTAATGTTTGAAATATTCCAGTGAACCAACAGTAGATATGGCTGTGTTGTAGCCCTAGACTGCAGGAAAGATGTTTGGGAGGAATTTCTGCTTGACTTATGAATATAAATCAAGGTTAAAAGATATGGACTGCAACTTTGTTCATCCTGAGCCTAGGACTCTTCAGCATTTTTATCAATGATGTAATAAAAGCATGGAAGGAATCTTGATTATGTTTTCAGATGATAGTAAAACTGGAAGAGATAACTAACACCACAGAAGGCCAGAATAACATTCAGAGTGGTCTTGTGACCATGGAAAACTGAGTCGAAATTTCCAAAATGGCATTAACAAGGAAACATTCTGGGTTTTGTGTTAGTAATAATTGCAGTTGATCATAAGTTGAACATTAAGCAAGCAGAGTGTAAATAAAATGGCTACAACAAAGAAGCTAATATGATTTTAACTTGGATTAGCAGAAATAGTTGCCAAGACAGGAGAGATCATAGCTCAACTTTATTCCATGCCAAGCCAATAAAACGTGCATACTTTACCCTATTTTTGGCACTGCTCTTTAAGAAGCATATAAATACATTAGAACAAATAAAGAGAAAGATAAGGATGTTGGAATAGTTACATTAAACAACCTCTTGTGAGGAATGATTGAAGATACTAGATAAAATTTAGCCTGGAAAAGAAAAGGCTGGGGTGGTGGTGACTGAGGCTTGCTTGAAGCTGTTTAGTGATTAGAAGGGTTCTCATGCAGAGTTAGTTGTTTTCTCTAGAGGATGAGACAGGATCTAGGGGGTTCAAGTTATAGAAGGAAGAGGGAAAAAAAAGATCTTGATGGATTTATTATGATATTATTATAGCTGCCCACTCCCACAGACTCTGGGTGGCTTACAAATACAAATACAAAACAATAAAAAGAGTTAAAAACTTACAATCCCATAGGCGTCCCAGACTAAAACAGACAGTAACAAATCAAACCAAACCAGGGGCCTCACAAGCACATCACCCCCAGGCCTGAAACCAAAGCCAGGTCTCAGGGCTTTTTGGAACCCTATCAGTTTGACAGTAGAACCAGTTATCTACAGGAGTATTACCACTTCCTCATTGGAGGTCTTCAGACAGAGCCATCTCTTGAGGATGCTCTCGCTCTAGAATTCTTGAACAGATCAAAGAGCTGGACTATGAATTCTTCAGGCTTCCTTCACCTGAATGATTGGGTGTTACCTGCGAATAGCTCTTTGCAATGGAGGGTAGCCAAAATGAATGCAAAAACTACACCCTCTCATGCACCACAGTCCAAAAAATTGCATATATCAGGAGCAGAATAAAAGTAAACTGAATGCTGTGGAAGTTGGGTACTTAAGGGAGGGTAGTAAAACAAGTAGAGATGGGGTCAAGGATAAATGTGTACTGAATGAATGTGTATTGAATACAAAACAGAGCGATGAGTATGAAGGAAGCACATTGAGGTTGTCATACAGGGAGAATGAATGAAGATCAAATGCAAAACAAATACATGAAAGCAAAGAGAATGCGCTGAAAGGAAGAGTGGGTTGAGAGGAAGGGGAAACTGAGAAAGATGTGACTGGATGGAGTTTATGAGATCCTTAGAAAGAAATGGGAGTGAAGTTTAAAGAACTAAAGGCACTGTATGAAATGGTATATGGACGTGGTGAAAGCAAGGATGATTGGCAAGAAAGAAAGATATGGAGAAGTACAAACCAACAGTGGTGTTGGTCTAGGTAGATTCACCTACATCTCATTTTCTTATCTTGTGCCCTGATTTCTTTTTCTCTCACTATTTCTCTCTCCATTTCTGCACTGTGCATAAAGTTGCTTACCTTGGAAAGAATAAGATGGGTGTGATATGTATGTTTTGTACATATGTACTCCTTAGAGTCGTCTCCATAGACCTGAGGGACAGCTTCAAACTGC